CCTTTTCAACATGTTCAGTCGAACCAACGAGGTTGTACTCTTCAGCATCCCAGCTGATAAACTCGATGGTGCGTAGTGGGCGCCAGCCAAAAGTCAGCAGTTCCCCGAAAACTCGAGCCAGCTCAAGGAACACAGCCGTGCCACTGCCCGGATCTGCGCTTCCCAAGCACCACGAGTCTCGGTGGTTACCAACAATGATCTTTTTCTCCGGCTGCTCCAACCCGATAATCCTTCCAACGACGTTGTAAATGGGCTGTCTTTCTACCTCATCTTGGATGTTCATAAGATTGACGGTGGGCGACGATGCGTCCCCAGTCCACCACTGATTCACGTCCGGGACACCGCCAACCCACTTGGCCGGCACCTTTGAACCGTGGCCCTTGAGCACCTGCAAGAGCCTTTGGGCATCGCGCCAGGCGAGAGGAATGCTAGGAATAGCCGTCAACCCCTTGCTATCCTCCGGCTTGAGTCTCACTTTCTCATCCGGTGTGGACGCGAAACCTGGCGAGAGTACATCACCGACCACCCATGACATCAAGCTAACAGCGCCTCTTTGTGTCCCGTCTGCTGGCATATAGCGTCCATCTGGAAAGGCCGGACCCCGGACAAAGCCATCCTCCGCGGGATCGGAATATATTATACAACCAGCTGCACCAGCCAATTCTGCAGCTTTGACCTTCAGGGCCCGATCGCTCTCTGACCCACCATAACGGACCAGCGCTATGGAGCCGTCCAAGGCAACTCCTTGATCTTTGAGATATTGGAAATCTTCTCGGGAGCCGTAGTTTGCGTAGACGAGGTGACCAGTGACGTTCCCCGACTTCGAGTGGCCATGGAATACCAAGGTCTGTTCGTTATCCTCTTCCAGTGTAGCCTCCCAGGCAAGGTCGGGAGGATCGATGATCGCCACCCTCCGACCGTCTTGCTGGGGATAATTCAAATATACCTGGAATTCTTCCATCTCGACCTCGTCGAAGTTGGCCTTGTTGAACTCCGATGCCACCCATTCCGCCAGAACGAAACTGCCTTCCGTACCGGCAATATGAGGGTATGCGGTCAGCTTCTTCAGGTTTTCTGCAATGCTCGTCTCATTGATATGACCCTGAACGAAGTTCTCCACGGACGCGGCGCTGTAGGATTGACCCATGATAAAACGGTTGTTCATGCTGAATAGGTCCGAAATGAAGAAGATGTACACGATGGTGACAACTAGAAGCAATCCAAAGACACGCAACAAGATCATGCATCCATTGTGTTTGAAGCCCGACCGAGCATCGTCTAGGTAGACGGTAAACCTGAGATTTGGCAAGCTTGGCAAATAACGGCGAAACGGCAGATTGAACGAGGATAATGTACGAGTCAAGTCGTTGAATCGCTTCGAGAACCGCGACCGTAGGCGAGATCGTTGAGATGATGTTTGCTGACCAGCGTCCTCCACGTCCATCTGGGCCAGCTCCCGCTGTAACTCCTCCAACGAGCCCCTATCCGATCCAGATCCGGACTCGAGGTCATCGAGGCTATTCCGAGCGGACTCGACGGTGGGAGGGTGATATCCATGAGGTCTAGTCTCTCCGCGGGCACCCGTTTGGGGACCGCGCTGGAGCAAGCCTTGTCTTTCGGTATTGTCGCTCATTTCTTCGGAAGAATCGAGGTGCGATCGGGAAGAGCCCGGGCGAGCGCCGATGGCCTCTTCGTAGGATGGGATTGGAAGGGCTTCATATTCGAATTTATTGTCGTTGCCCATGGCGGGTGATATGGGGCTCCCGAGAGCCGTGCGAGTTGGGTAGTCTCACAGATACCGGGCTAAGCGGGATCATGATCTGGATGAGAAAGGAGTGACAGCCAATGCAGCCATGCTCCCGATCGGAGGGGCGGGAACGAACGACAAAGGAGGTTGAATGTGTAAATAAAGAGTGTGTACTTTATAAAATATATTAGGAGGGGGGTTAAAGATGAAAAGGGGAGGGGGTGGTGGTGTTCCTGATGATGGAGGTAGGAGGAGGATGGGTCAGTAGCAGTCGATCGCAGTGTCAGATCTCGAGTAGGTAGCAGCAGTAGTGAGAACTCACTTCAAGTTCCCCGGACCGCCCGTCACTTTGGGGGGGGAACATTGAGGCTACGCGTGGCGCAGTCGAGGGGGGAAGTTTGCTGGTCGGGGCCACGGCTCGGCATCCGTAGGCAGAAGGGTTCTGGAACAGATTTCTCCCGACCGATCGATATGTAATCAATCAATCATCCTTAAGGGCTCTCTGTATCCGCCATTTAGTAGTCAATTTGAATTGTTTGCAACTGGTCATGATGAGGACGAGACAGAGTGGTATTGTTTGAATAGAGTAGAAGGAGAGAAGAACAGTTTACAAGTACCAGTAATAGCAGTAGAAACTGGAGACAAACAGTAACGCTGGCCATGCATCCCGTTACTGGGTACCGAGATACGCTGCTAATCTCACTGAAAGCACTATACTAGAGAGTAAAGGGAGTAAGTAGTATAGTATATCATATATTCATGTCATAGTAGTGCTCCGTAGTACTACTTGGTAGTTTGTGTGAAGACGAAGAGAAAGATCATGGAGTAGTAACTACTACTTAAGTTACTACTGCTGTCAAAGTAGCCGAGCAAGCGGACAACGGCTTATCATATATATTTTTCTGTCTTCTACTCCGTACTAGTAGTACCATCATCATGCTGGTTCGACCTGCCAATACTACTACTAATTATAATGCCCGAGTGCTACTATGTACACTCAAAATACATTGGTACTAGTAGTGTGCTCACGTAGTGGTCCATAAGGGACCAACTCGAACATGCATCACATACTTATCCATTATTATTATCATGGTATGGTTGGGCAATTCATGTCCTTAAATTAATGCTGCAAGGCTTTTGATCATACTACAGATGCCTACTTATTACTTCTCTACTTAATCGAACAGCCGACAGCATTGCTTGACCTGATCCCTTGCTTTCCACTCCGGATCACAGCATCTGCAGCACACGCAATTCAGACGTTGGTAATGCTTCAAACCGATACAACTTTTTTTTTCTCGCACATCCCACTTCGACGATGGAGATCCGACAAATGACCACACAAATGCAGCCCCAAGAATGTCAATCGGCGCTACTTTTGAGTCCGAAAGAAAAAGAAGGACCCGATCCAATTGAATGATGGTGGATCTTCCCTGCCATTGGCACCTACCAAGTAGCCCACTTTGTAGTACTTATCTACTTTTAGTGAAATCTGCATGACAATGTGGGATTTTCGTCAACGACTAATGAGCGTTCCCCTCGGCCCATTTCGCGCCAGAGGGGCACGGCCAAAGATCGGGTATACTCTTCTTCAATGGCGGGCTTGTTCTCGACTCTCTCCGACATCTGAACCCACTGGGACCCTACTTGTGCCTGTAAGTCTCGGTAAGATGGAGGCTCGTTTACAGAAAGGGCACCGAAAGCTCCACAAGATAAGATTGATTAATCCCTCAACCTGTTTCACTGTTCCACTCCACGGTCAGGCTATACCGGGTGGATGTGGTCGGAACTGAATTTGGTTGGGATGGGATCGATTCCAAAGAGGTTCCTTCTTGATTGCTTGCTTGCGTTATCCCACTTGTTTGGTATCTGGCGTATGCAGGTGTCGAAGAACGGGACTTTCGGTTGACATACTTACGCTTTAGAACGTAGACGTCACTGCAAGCATACCATAGGCCTCAGCTGACGACTCTTGTCTGGCCATTACTATCTTCTCGGTCCATCTGAGTAAGTAACGAGGCTATGTTAGGAGGGAAAAGCGTGATAAGAGGGAGAAGATGAGGGGCATGCGACAATTAATGGCTACGGGTTGGGCAATACCTATCCTGTGTGGTCCATTAGATATGCCGTCTGATCAGAAACAATCCGCAGAAAGATACTCCGCGTCTAGACGGAGTTTTCCTCGTAAGCAGGTTTGTCGTCATGGGCAATCAATGGCCGGGACGCAGGGGAGAGACAAAGGATACCAGGGAACGCATCCCATTGCCGTGTTAAAGTGCTTGGCATCCCGGGGACAGAAGTGCAACATTGCGGGTTTACATCATGTGTCTGCAGTTAAGCTGCATGGTTGTAGGTAGGGTAATAATATTGCAGCAGCAAGCTCCTAAAGTACGGTGGCGTGGATATTAAATCCTCCCGTTCATATCGGCCAGTGTGGGAGAAACATGGGCCGACGTTGATTGAGGGCGGATGTATAGTTAGGGTGAAGGCCATGTCACAAAACATGGCGGCAAGAGTCGGTGAAAAGGAAAACGCAAAATAGAATCATCCACCCGGAGCAAGATGAGCTGTCGGTAAGACTACTTGGAGCTAGGTTGTGCAATGATGCGTTGGATGCGAGTGCTGTGGTTGGAGGCAGCCGTATCCTGTTCCCCCGTTTTCGGGACATAGGATGAAGAGTACGGCGTATACCAGATCCTGGACACCATCAGATTTTCTCCCTCTCAACAATTGTGGAAATTAGGAGGTGGATCGTTTTGAATTGGAGTCCTCTCCGGTGAAACTCCCCATCCACAATTTCGATCCCTTTTCCTGTCCCGGTCATGGGGGGAAATGGTGTTTATCGTGGGAAAAGTTGTTGATATGATGCGCCGTGACTTGGATAACCCCAAGACCATCTTATACTATAGATCTGAGGCGGCGTGACTGCCAGAACACCGCCGGGACAACCTCAGGCACCCCAGGGCAGGCCAGGGCGCCGACCAACCACAGCCCGCAGACCAAGCCAGATGGACCCACTAGGCCACGCACTAGAAGCACACTAGCTGATCCGTAAGTATTGTCTGGCTGCATAGGAACGGGGGTCGACCCAGTTCGTTGCTTTTTTTTTTTTTCTTTTGCCCCCGGCCGATGGCCAGTGACCACCTGGGAAACCGTTCGCCCGCTGGCCTCGGGGGGCCCCTCTAGTATATCGTGAGCTTCACTACTTATACTCTCCTCTTTCACCTTCTCTCAGCTCCTTTTCTCTCCCTCTCTCTCTTCCAACAAACTTTCTTCCTCTTACCTTTAATTATCTTTTCTTCACCTCCCTTCTTCCCCCCCCCCATACATCATACTCTCCGCAATAGCTCTCTTTCTTGAGTGTTTTGTGTCTTAAACTCTCTACTGTCCCACTTTCCGCTTAATACTTACCCCTCCTCCTTTACACATTCACCATGGCTGCCCGTCCTCAGAACATTGGTATCAAGGCCATTGAGGTCTACTTCCCTCGTCAGGTTCGTGTGTCTTGCCACGTCATTCGATTCTGTTCCTGTCTGTTCTGAGCTGTGTTCTAATATGTCCCTGTGTTTTCTAGTGTGTCGACCAGAGCGAGCTCGAGAAGTTCGATGGCGTGAGCGAAGGCAAATACACCATTGGCCTTGGTCAGACCAAGATGAGCTTCTGTGATGACCGTGAAGGTATGCATTAGACAATGACAGACATCGTCCGCATGTCATGATCGCGTGGCAATGCTAACGTGCACTTCCCGGCAGACATCTACTCCATTGCCCTGACCACCTTCTCCTCCCTTCTTCGCAAGTACAACATCGACCCCAACTCCATTGGCCGTCTGGAGGTCGGTACCGAGACCTTGCTGGACAAGTCCAAGTCCGTCAAGTCCGTCCTGATGCAGCTTTTGGCTCCTCACGGAAACACCAACGTCGAGGGTGTTGACAACGTCAATGCTTGCTACGGTGGCACCAACGCTGTTTTCAACAGCATCAACTGGCTCGAGTCCTCTGCTTGGGATGGCAGAGATGCCGTCGTTGTTTGCGGTGACATTGCCCTGTACGCCGAGGGTGCTGCTCGCCCTACCGGTGGTGCTGGCTGTGTCGCCATGCTGATCGGTCCCGACGCCCCTATTGTGTTCGAGCCTGGTCTCCGTGCCTCCTACGTCACCCACGCCTACGACTTCTTCAAGCCCGACCTGACCAGCGAGTACCCCGTCGTGGACGGCCACTTCTCCCTCAGATGCTACACCGAGGCTGTCGACGCCTGCTACAAGGCCTACAATGCTCGTGAGAAGACCCTGAAGGAGAAGGTCCAGAACGGTACCAACGGCACCGCCCAGGACGATTCCAAGACTGCCTTGGACCGTTTTGACTACCTCTGCTACCACGCCCCCACCTGCAAGCTCGTGCAGAAGTCCTTCGCTCGTATGCTGTACAACGACTACCTCACCAACCCCACTCACCCTGCTTTCGCCGAAGTGGCTCCTGAGCTCCGTGATCTGGACTACGCCACTTCTCTCACTGACAAGAACGTGGAGAAGACCTTCATGGGTCTGACCAAGAAGCGCTTCGCTGAGCGCGTCAAGCCCGCTCTTGAGGTTGCCACTCTCTGCGGTAACATGTATACTGCCACTGTTTGGGCTGGTCTGGCTAGCTTGATCTCCCACGTTCCCTTCGATGCTAGCGAGTCCAAGCGCATCGGTCTCTTCTCCTACGGCAGTGGTCTTGCCAGCTCCCTGCTTAGCGTGAAGATTGTCGGCGACGTGTCCAACCTGGTGGAGAAGCTTGATCTCAAGAACCGCCTTAGCAACCGCAACGTTCTTCCTCCTCAGTCCTACGTTGATGTAAGTATCCCAACGACCTAATCATGACCTGCACCTCGAAGTTCAGTTTGCTAACGTCTGGTTACAGATGTGTGCCCTCCGTGAGCACGCTCACCTCAAGAAGAACTTCAAGCCTTCTGGCAGCACCGAGACTCTCTACCCTGGTACCTACTACTTGACTGAGGTGGACGACATGTTCCGCCGCAAGTACGACGTTAAGGCATGAATTATGACGAGCATATGATGGACTTGCTTTCGACCTTGCTTCTTTGGACATGACCGGTTGCTTAGACGGTTTTACTAGATTCCCTTCAGCATGCGCAATTGTTTATTTGTGGTTCGCCTTAATAGAGCTTGGGGGCAGCGAAATGCTCCTACCAATTCCCGGGTCTGCTTTTCTCCTTTATATTGGTTCTTAATGTTTCATACGTTGTTCATGTATCCTCCCAGTGAGGAGACCTTCTCTTGTCCAGACAGGAGCTGGAATGCAATTATATACGACGATGACCAATAATTCTAGACTCATCAGGAGTCGTTCGAGGACAACGATTATAATGTGGCTGACTAAAATGTATAAATGCCTGTAGTCTTTCTCTATCTTTCTTAATCGGCTTGTTGGGTGCTTACTGTAGCATACCTTGTCATGTGACATGGGTGCAGAGAGTGGCGCGTTCTTCCAGCACCTTCACCCTGTTGCAAGTTGCACTGATTAACCCAAGCGCCTAGGAGACATAAAGACAAATAGGCATCTTGCCAGATTCACGAACTTCATGATGGGCGTGAAACCAGGCGAGACCAAGAATAGCAGCAATTCAAGCTACAAGGTCGCTCTATTGTTTTATTTCCCGCCGACTCTCCTTTTACAGTGTCTGTCAGTCTCCGTCTGACCCATCTACAATTAAACCTCGTCACACAATAAGCACTCAAGTTCATCAAAAATGTCTGTGATTGGTCCAGTTGGAGAAAGCTCAAGCACACTGCAGGCTGTCGACAGGGAAGAGCCACTGAGGCATCCTGACGCCGTCCGGGGTCTTAGCCGGCGCCTACTGTGACGACCTGCAAGACCTCTGATTTATCGACACATCCAGGCGGGGATATTCTTAGAACCTCTTGGACTTGAGAGTATCGTATCAGTTGATTAGTATTCGACTTCATTCTGCAAGCTTCGACTGCAATAGCCAATGCCCGTTGAGTGGGCTGCGGCTCCCCCAGGCCCTGGTATCAAACCTCGGCGGCTAACTCTACAACGGCACACCCTCAAGCACTACACGCCGTGGAAATGTACCAGTCACTTGCGTTTTATTTTTTGACGTCAAACACCTGCTTGCCGCCGACTAATAGATGCCCCAGGCGTGACGCCTTTGCGGGAACTCATCGATCCTAGTTACATTACCCAGAATAGACGAAACACCCAATGTTACCCAATATAGATCCTATGCAGATTCCGAACGAACCATCGTCGGAATAGACTACCGACAGCCTGGTTCAGATCTGAAGAAGCGAAGAAGATGTCAAATATAGAAACTTTTTGACGCGCGACTGTCGATGAAACGCTTTCGCTTGCCCTAGGATCGTTTGCTCTGCACATCATCCAAGCAGATATCGACATCCCTGTGTCGATGGCCCTACCATCTCCATCATGATTACCTAGTATGGTTAGCGACTGGCTGTCGCAATGGAGCCAGATCTGTTTCATGCCCCTGCAGGCAGTTCGATTGATTCTGTCTCTTTTTTTGGATCAAGGGACTCATGGGTTCCAGATTGAAGAACATTTAATAACCAACCGTTCTCCAGTCTAATTATGCCTCAGTTCAGTCAAGTCGTTCACCAAGACAAAGCGAACTCGACAACATTGTCTCTTCTTTTGCCTAGTGCATCTCTTTCTTCTCTATTCATTTGACCTTAGATTCTTACGCGAGCATTCCCTGTTTGATACCTCTTGGGAAGCTGGACTTTCCCGCAATCTTATTTGATCTAAATCGTCTCAGACCTGCGGTGACTTTATATAGCAAGATGTCTGTGGAGTACTCTTATTATCGTCCCTCAACCCCTCCTGCATTGCATCTGCAAGAATATAGTGGAACGGGGCATAGCCGCAACGCTTCTGATTCTTCTGTTTACTCCAACAACTCGTCGCCCTGGTCCGTCATCACGTCGGCTACCAGCCCTGTAGTTGACTCACCCCCACAACACCACCATGGGCCTACTCTTCTTCCGAAGATCAGACCTCAAGACATTGTGATTGAACCTCCACCCGCCAGTGGATCCCAACGTCAACGGCGGGTGCTGTCAAACACACGCAATCCTCCTGGTTCTTTACCGCTTGCTTCCAACCGCCGGTCAAGCCATCGGGTTGCTGTTGAGACCTCAGGGTGCATTCCTATGGCATCCCCGGCCGTGGCGTCGCCGAAGTATACCACTCGCAATGGCTCGTCATTATCATCTCCTGTGAGCGTCACACCGGCGCAGAAGCGCAAGGCGACGAGCGCGCACACTAGATCAGTCTCTGCCTCCAACGTTGACGATCCAAGGACAAGTCGATGCGGATATCCAGCATATCGACAGGTCATCAGATACGCCTCTCAGCCTCAGAGTTCCCCTACCACACCGGCTACGCCCGCCACACCCAATATTATAGTGTATCCGCCTTATGCGCCTCACTCGCCAGCCGAGCCATACTATCCCAAAGTGTACCCTCCGGTGCAGGTGCCACTCATGCTTCCCGGCTCACCATATGGGTACGTGCGAGCGTCGAGTGCACAATGCTCTCCCATCGGCATCGTCCACCAGACCGAGAGGACGAACTCTCAGTCAACCACCTTGCTCTCGTACCTTACCACCCCGACACAAGCAATCAACCTCGTGCGCAACGTGAACGTGATTCCGACACGAGGCTTGCACGATTACTTTTGGTGGGACATTCGGAACTTGCGCAGTTGGACTTCGTTTTCTCTATCCACGTTCAACTCTATCAGTGGACTTCCGAAACTTCTCAAAACCGCAATCCCTTCGCATCTCACGCCCCTCAATATCCTTCCGAGCTCTTATTTGTCCCCAGATTGCGAGCCAGCTCTAGTCAACGTCATCCGAGACATCTATGCACCTCGTATCAATGCTGCCTTGGCAGTCTCGCAAGGCCCGGATCACTTGTCCCTCTACGCTGTTCCTATTCCGCGAGGGTCACCTAACAAGAACTATGGCGGGCCACATTTTCTCGCTAACTATGCGTCTGACACCGAACGAACCGCCTCAGGCCTTGTTAGAGGACGACTCGTTGGTATTGTCAAGACCTTCGACCGCTGGAACACGGGAATGCGCAACGAAGCGCCTCACCGCAGGGTGGAGTATCTGAACGGTCTAGCACACCTGCAGCGATGCATGCGCGAGCACTCTTGCCGCTACGGCTTCATTCTCACCGAGATCGAGCTCGTGTGTGTACGGGCAGGTTGTGACGAGGGCGACGATGTGCCCTACTTTGGTTTCCTGGAGCTGTCTGCGCCAATTCCAACCAAGCTCGCGATCAACCAGCGTGGGCACGGCTCGGGGCCATATACCAGTGATTATGGCTATCCGCATTCGCCCACTCCATCCAGCGACAGTTCCTTGGCGAGCCAGTCGCCCATACTGGATAGCTATCCAATTTCTGATTCCGATGAGCTGGACGTGCCAATGACCGCCAGTCTAGCTTTGTACTTTTTACTGATGCTTTCAAAATCGGTTCCCTTGCCGTCACAACCATCTGCTCATCTCAACGTGGGAGGACCAGGTGCCCTGACCCGGCAGCGCATCTTACCGGAAAAGAAAGACAAATGGATCCCGGAACCCCAAATAGGGGAGCGCCGTGATGCGAAGCGAGTGCGAGGCTGGGTGTGGCCCCAGGATGCCTGGCATCGTCGAGAAGGTGGAGGAGCTCCTCGTTCCCGAGCAATGACGACGGAACCCAGACCCAAAAAGTGGCACAAATAATAATCTACGTTAATCTTAGCGGAGACAGGTTTCTCATTGCTGCTGCTAATTATGTTTGTTGTTATATAGCTTTTGTCTTATAGTAATGTAATGTCTTTCCATATATCAACTGCGGACCCTTTCACAGTATAGTAGGCCAGCACAGAACCATTAATCAATAGCGTCAAAGCTCACTCAGAATGACATAAACCCTAGCATAGTAGCAAATCATGCTCTGCAATCGTCTCCAAGGTCCCCAAACCCATCCTCCAAACCTCAAACACATTATCAATAATGATGATCCCGACTTTCCCTTTTGGGCGACAAGGACCTTGGGGATCCAAGTACCCGGGGGAGTGATGAGCACCACCATAACCAAATATCACCTACTATCTATTTATCAAATATAAACCCTGCTGCATGCACATATTTGAACAATCAATCACTCAAGCAATAGCCCTACTCTACTATATCACACTTAGTACTACCTACGAAGCCTCCACCACCAATCCCACATCAACCATACATACTACACACCAACCAGACATGGTAGGCAAAACCACCTCACCACAATCATCCTCATCCTCCTCCTTCCCGGACATCCTCGATGTCCTCATCATCGGCGCCGGCCCCTGCGGCCTAGCAGTCGCCGCGCGCCTCCGCGAAGAAACCCCCTCCGCCATGTTCACCGACGACGAACACCAACGCTACCACTGGATTAACAAGCACAGTGGTCGAATGGCATTGGTACAGGCGCACCGCGGGAAACTCAAGGGCGTGAAGGCGGAGAAGTGGCAGAGATATGATGATGAGCATTATCCTAGACGGGGGTCATCATCGTCTTCTGGTTCTGGGTCGGGCTCTGATTCTTCTCCGCCGTCGTTGTCTTCGTCGGTTTCGTCGGATGATGGGGCTTATATGGGGAGGGGGGATGATAAGAATCAGAATGTGAATGGGAATGGGAATGGGGGCATATCTACGCTCGTACTGGATAGTTCCGGGGACGAGTGGATGGAGAGATGGAATCGGGCGTTCAAGACATTGGAGATTGAGCAGCTGCGCAGCCCGATGTTCTTTCATGTGGATCCTAGGGATCGGGATGGTATGTTGGCGTATACGAGGGAGGTGAGGAGGGAGAGGGATTTATGGGAGATTTCGGGGTGCGTGGGGAAGGAGTTGAGTAAGCATAAGAAGAAGAAGATGAGGTCGAGGGCGCAGTAAGTTGTTCCGGAGTGATATTCTGTGTTCGGGTTGCTAATTGTGTGGGTGATCAGGGCCGTTGGCGAGGTTGAGATTGATGAAAGAGATCGTAAAGATTACTTCTCACCGTCGACGGACTTGTTTGAAGATTACTGCGGGAGCATTGTATCGCGGTATGGACTGGACGCGCCGGGAATGATCACGCAGTGCGAGGTAAACGATATATCGTACGACTATCACTCTGAGTTATCGCCGTCTGACAAGATCTTTACTGTTACTACGGCGGAGGGAAATCGGTTCTATAGTCGTGTGGTGGTGCTGGCTATTGGGCCGGGGAGGACGAAGATACTTCCGTTCAAGCTGACGGGTGAGGAAGAGAAAGGGGCTTGTCATAGCACGGAGATTCGCATGTTTCCGAGTATCAATGTGAAAGCCAAGATTAAGCAGCGTCAGGAGACGAACGTGGTGGTTGTTGGGGGTGGACTGTCGTCAGCGCAGGTGGTGGATATGGCCATTCGGCGAGGGGTGACCAAAGTATGGTTTCTTTTGAGGTCGGATTTTAAAGGTACGTACTAGACAGGTAGTGGGCAGGTTGCATAGCCTCCTACATCATCCATCCAAACTCAGACGTGGGGGATGCTGACCAGATGGTTTCTAGTCAAGCACTTCGACCTCGCATTGAACTGGATGGGCAAGTTCAAGAACTTCGAAAAGGCAGCATTCTGGTCCGCAGACACGGACGAGGAACGCCTTGAGATGATCAAAGCCGCGCGTAATGGCGGCAGTATCACGCCACGGTATCAGAAGATTCTGAAGCAACATGTGGCAGCCCATCGGCTTTCTATACACCCACGCACCGTCATCTGCGGCAAGGAGTACTGCGCCTCCTCGCGCACATGGCGTCTTACGACAGATCCTCCGATCCCTGACCTGCCTCGCATCGATTATATATACTTTGCGACAGGCATGCAGGCCGATGTGAATGAGCTCCCATTGCTCCAACGCATGAACCGTGAGTATCCGATTGAAACTAAGCAGGGATTGCCTTGCATCACGGATGACCTGATGTGGCAATCGAATGTGCCACTTTTCTTGACGGGTCGGCTGGGGTCTCTTCGTTTGGGCCCCGGTGCTGCCAATCTTGAGGGAGCGAGGCTGGGTGCGGAGCGGATTGCCTGGGCGATGGAGGATGTGTTGGGTAGAAAAGGATCAGAGGATACGGGGTCTGAACGATCCAAGCAGTGCTTTTGCGGTTTGGGGAATCGGTATGCTGAGCTTGCTAACGTGGACGAATAAGCCGAGGCAATAATTGAACTCGAGAATAAGATTCGAGGCTGTCTGTGGAGGCTGTAGTACTGCATATACCTCCTCACTGCGGAGTATACTCCTGAGAATGGCTTGATGATGAAGATATGCCTTTAGAGACATTGATGCTGTATGTTAACTTACTATACGGTATGAAATTTACAGACAAAATTTTAGCGGATATATAGAAAGTAAAGCCAATAATACCTGAATAACGCTGAAAATACCAATCGTATGTATTATTGGCGAGGCTGATTCGGGCAGTTTGCTCATGTTGAACAACTGTGCTGCTGCCTGCTAACACAACTTACCCACCTTCATCTCATCTCATCCCACCAGATCGCAGCTTTGTTGCCTCCGTGGGTGTCATTCCCCCATCAACCGACAGATCAAGCTTCTAAGCCTCACTCAAATCGTTCACCTCAGCTGGCAAGACGCAAGATTTGCCATCGTGAAGTCCACTCAGCAGAGCCTAGACACTCACCAGCCACACCCGCAGTGCCTGATCAGAGCATCCAATCTCCGCAACCGAGACAGCTCGCAGCACCAGCATGAATTAATCGCCGCACCCCAAAGCGTTTCGTCATGTACAAAGCCTCAGCCAGTTGAAGTCATGACGCCACATCAGATAATCTTATTTTCCAGGATCTCGGTGATTTCCTCAGCCACAGGGGGGGGGGGCGCGAAACCAACTTGAAGAGGCGAATAGGAACAATCCGTGGTAGGTGTGGCGCAGGAGGTGTGGCCGTGCAACAGGGGGACATGGACAAACAAACATTCTTCAGGATAGAGTCAACGTGATTGAATGCTCGAGGCGAATGAAAGGCCGGATCACCAATGCGCACTAAGAAATCTGGAACGCAACTAAAATTCATTGGCGGCAACGGCATGTCGTGACTCCTCATTGACCGACTAATCGTCTGACTTCCGAACTAAATGAAGGAGGCGCAGCCGCCCGCTAGAAACTCATTTGCTGGAACTATACCTCACCCGGCGGCAACTTCCAAGGGCCACTTTTCTCTCGGCATTTCCATCTGGAAGGGTTTTTGAGTATGCGTTGATTGCAACGCTCCACTCAGAGTTCAGCATGCGTCATTTGTCCATGGTTTTGCGCGCGCATCGATACAGTTGATGAAATGTGATTGCAGGCTTGTGATCAGAGGTAGGAACCCTCCGGTTCTAATTCTCCCCCCTCCGGGTTGCTTCTCGCATTCTCATAGGAGAGATAAGATTACGCTGGAGATGAACAGGAGCTCCGTCGGCGTCTAGATTGAGCAATATAACTTGCTTTGGTAGAGTGGAGGTGTCATGGCGTCTTCAACTTTAAGATAAAGCGCTTTGGGTATATACCCCCGCTCGTTAGTTGCAGCCATGGGTCATACCTCTCTCCACCCCTTGGTCTACGCCGTCGGTGATAGGACGGATTGAAGGAGGCTGTGCAGCGCGTTGTGATGCTACCAAGCATATGGGTCAACTCAACTCACTCACACTTCATGGTTGTTTTGGCGTATGGCAAAAGCCGGACTCTTGCTAGCCTCTTCCTCGGACCTTGCAACCGCTTCCTTTTTTTCATCCCGTGCTTGTTGGGAAGACCCTTGGCGTTACAATATCTCTTCTCAGTGCCACGGATGATACGAACCAGACATGAGGATTGATACGAAGAAATCCGTTATGAGACAATCAGACTATTAAATTTTAGGTTACCCTTTTCGGAAGCACAGCCCCCAGACCAGATCTACTAATAACGGGTGTCGCTCGGGCACAGAACCAAACAGTAGCAGCAGGTGCAACACTTTGAAGTTGACACTGCATTTACCAGGATTTATGCCCGTTTCTTTGTCTCTACCAAATCAGATCTCGTTCCGGTCGCATCAATGCAGACCCCAGACGAGCATTCTCAGTCTGGCTTCTTGAACCCTTTCGGGGTTTCAGATAGAGAGGTATGTTCAACAGCGCTAGGGCTTAATGAGAGAGCCATATATTCATACGCTTACCAACAGCAGCACCCTATATCATCCGGCTCAATACGAACAAGCATATCATCTATTCGATCTTCTTCACCCGCGGACATGGCGTCCACTCTATCGCCAGACAGGCTCAGGGTACGGAGTGACACGCGGACGTCGGCTCAGTCGCTGGACGGTGAGACGTTACGGCCGCGAGCAGACTCTACCATCTCCAGTGCAGATACAGCTGTAAGGTCGAGAGCCAACTCTGAAGCCACTAATGCCCCGGCCAAGATGGAGTACGATGATGTTTCGGTGGCCGATGCCTTGAATCCCGACCCTCGAAACGAACAGGACTTCATAGTGCCAGACAATAAGTTCGCCTTCTCTCCAGGACAATTGAACAAGATGCAGAACCCTAAATCTTTGGCTGCGTTCCAGGCACTTGGAGGCATGCAGGGATTGGAACGAGGACTGCGGACAGATCTGACATCTGGTCTGTCGGTCGATGAGACTCTCTTGCAGGGTTCGATCAGTTTTTCGGAAGCGACTTCCCCTGACTATGCCTCTTTCAAAGAAACCGCTCCTCCAAACATTGACGCCCTGATTACAGAGTCCGGTACGCAATTCCAAGACCGCATAGGCGTCTTCTGTCAGAACAGACTGCCTGCTCGGAAGTCAACGGGATTCTTGAAGCTGTTTTGGCAAGCCTACAACGACAAGATCATCATCTTGTTAACGATAGCTGCTATCGTGTCGCTGTCCCTTGGTATCTATGAGACTACGAGCGAAGGTAGTGGAGTGGATTGGATTGAAGGAGTGGCGATTTGTGTGGCTATTCTGATAGTCACTATTGTGACTGCCGCAAATGACTGGCAGAAGGAAAGACAGTTTGCTAAGCTGAATAAACGTGTAAGTACTTACCTTTCTTCTGTTATTGACGAATACCACCACTGACTTCTTCAGAACAATGATCGAGAAGTCAAGGCTGTTCGATCTGGCAAGGTCTCCATGATATCGATACACGATATCACAGTTGGTGACATTCTTCATGTCGAGCCGGGCGACGCCATTCCTGCGGACGGGGTTCTCGTCTCGGGTCATGGCATCAAATGTGACGAGTCCTCCGCTACAGGAGAATCTGACCAGATGAAGAAGACTGATGGATATGAAGTCGGGCGGTTGATCTTAAATGGGAAGGCTACGAAGAAGCTTGACCCGTTCATGATCTCGGGCAGCAAGGTGCTTGAAGGTGTCGGTACCTACTTAGTCACGAGTGTCGGGCCGTACTCAACCTACGGCCGGATCTTGCTGTCTTTGCAGGAATCGAATGATCCGACACCTCTTCAAGTCAAGCTGGGTCGACTTGCTAATTGGATCGGCTGGCTAGGCTCAGGGTAAGAGCGACCCTCCTTTGTATTCACATGGTATTGTTTGCTAACTGCTCCTAGTGCTGCGATTATCTTGTTCTTCGCTCTGTTCTTCAGGTTCGTGGCGGATCTATCCCATAACACTGGAACGCCTGCGGCCAAGGGCAAGGAGTTCGTCGACATCCTCATTGTTGCTGTTACCGTCATTGTCGTTGCGATTCCTGGTTAGTAGTTTCCCCATGCTAGATTAATGACATTTACTGACTGATATCCATAGAGGGTCTGCCGCTTGCTGTAACTTTGGCACTGGCATTTGCCACAACCCGAATGGTCAAGGAGAACAACCTTGTGCGCGTCCTCCGTGCCTGTGAGACAATGGGAAATGCAACAGTTATTTGCTCCGACAAGACCGGGACCCTTACCCAGAACAAGATGACTGTTGTGGCAGGGACCTTGGGCTCGAAGAGTTTCAAGCATACCCCAGGCGAGGAACGCTCATCTGACGTCTCAACTCCTGCTGAGTTTTTCAAGCATTATTCAGGCAAGCAGCGGGATCTCATCCTTCATAGCATCGCCTTGAACTCTACTGCTTTCGAGGAAGAGAAGGATGGGTCTAAGGAGTTCATCGGCAGTAAGACCGAGGTGGCTCTGCTGCAAATGGCCAAAGATCATCTCGGCCTGGACGTTACTGCAGAGCGTGCCTCTGCGGACGTTGTCCAATTGATCCCCTTCGACTCTGCACGTAAGTGCATGGGGGTTGTCTACCGGGAACCTACGATGGGTTATCGCCTCCTTGTCAAGGGCGCTGCTGAGATAATGGTCGGCTCATGCACGACTCAGATGGTCGAGGCAGACTCTTCTCACGGCCATATCTCCACCGATGCCTTGCACGAGGGAGACCGAAGGGTTATTCTAAACACAGTCGAAGCTTACGCAGGTCAGTCCCTACGGACGATCGGACTAGTGTACCGCGACTTCCCAAGCTGGCCGCCGAAAGACGCCCGGTGCTTGGAAGATGATCCTGAATCTGCTAGGTTCGAGGATGTTTTCCGCGACATGACCTGGATCGGGGTTGTGGGCATCCAGGATCCTCTCCGACCCGAAGTGCCCGCTGCCATCCAAAAGTGCCATGCGGCAGGTGTACAGGTGAAGATGGTCACTGGTGACAACATTGTAACCGCCAGTGCGATAGCTTCGTCATGTGGAATCAAGACAGAGGACGGCATTGTCATGGAAGGACCCAAGTTTCGTCAGCTTTCTGACGAGGAAATGGATCGAGTGATTCCTCGTCTTCAGGTGCTAGCTCGCTCGTCACCCGAGGATAAGCGGATTCTGGTGGCACGGCTCAAGAAACTAGGCGAGACTGTCGCCGTCACCGGTGATGGTACTAACGATGGGCCAGCCTTGAGAACAGCTGATGTCGGCTTCTCCATGGGAATTGCTGGAACAGAAGTCGCGAAGGAAGCCAGTTCGATCATCCTTCTAGACGACAATTTCAAGTCCATTGTCACCGCCATTGCATGGGGCCGGGCTGTCAACGATGCTGTCGCCAAGTTCCTTCAGTTCCAGATCACGGTCAACATCACAGCTGTGGTCTTGACCTTTGTTTCGTCCTTGTACAGCAGCGAGAACAAGAGCGTTCTGAACGCGGTGCAGCTGCTCTGGGTCAACTTGATTATGGACACTTTTGCAGCTCTTGCCTTAGCGACTGACGCCCCAACGGAGAAGATTCTCAACCGCAAGCCTGTTCCCAAGAGCGCATCACTATTTACAGTGATCATGTGGAAGATGATTCTCGGCCAAGCTCTCTATCAGCTGGCCATCACCTTCATGCTTTACTTTGGTGGAAACCAGATTATCGGGTCGCGACTTGGAACCCACGACCCGCAAACGGTGCTCAACACTATCGTGTTCAATACCTTTGTGTGGATGCAGATCTTCAATGAATTTAACAACCGACGACTGGACAACAAGTTCAACATCTTCGAAGGCATGTTCCGCAACTACTGGTTCCTGGGAATCAACTGCATCATGGTCGGCGGTCAAATCATGATCATTTTCGTGGGAGGAGAGGCTTTTGGCGTGACCCGTCTCGATGGGATCCAATGGGCCATTTGTATTATTTGTGCGCTCGGCTGCCTCCCATGGGCGGTTGTTCTCCGTACGGTCCCCGATGGGCCATGCGAAGTTGCTCTCAACTTTGTCGTCCGATGCATGAATTTTATCTTCAAGCCCATCGGCCGTGCTATGAGTCATCTTGCGGCCATGATTCGCTCTTGTCTGCGACCGGTTAAAAGAACAGCCCAGCGTGTTGTGAAGCGCGGTGGGAAGGAAGAGCAGGACACTAACACTGATGCCTTGCCCGACGAGGAGGCAGGAAGGGTGTCGTTGCACGAGTTGAAGAGAGAGCAGACGCCGGAGGCGCCTGTTACATCAATTCCGGTGCCTCCAATTACTATTACGACTTCTTGATGATTTGTATGATGTTTAATTAGCGGGTTTTGAGCTTCTGTATATATGGGTATACAGCGATTAAGCATGCGTGGGTATGCAGATAGTGCATGGAGTTGGTGGCTTTTTGTTAGATTCGAAACAAGCAGTATATGTACATTAGATAAATATAATCCCCAGCGAAGTGTCTATATATCTCAAAAACAATCATACCTAATTGTGATAATACCGATTCCTTCCTCTTAAAACGTATAGTTATTGAAATGGTTGTTATTGAACAGTCTAGTCCTGACCCTGACAGCGGTTGCCTCAGGCCCGCCGGCCCGCACTCCGCAGCGACTCTCGCTCTCCGCCGCCACTTCACCCTCATTCATCACCACCATCTTCTCCAGGAGCTCTTTATTCCTTCTGTCCATTCCATTCCACGCTGTCAATTCATCTCGGTCAAACACAGTAAGACTGTACCCACCTACCTCGCTAGGAACACCACACCCATCCCCTCCTAGCCACCCACCGCATCTCTCTACCTGACCACCTCCGTCATCTCCTTTCCCCGCGGACACCTGGTAATGACGCTGCCTACCTACCATTCAGCTCCAGCTCCAACCCACCACAATCGCTAATTAGAGAATCTACTACTAGCTACATACGTTTCCAATTGACAACTCAAAAAACCCCTTTATAACCCAAATCAATATACACCCTAAACCTCCAGCACAGCAACCGCAACAATGGCCCAACTCAACTACCGCACAATCAACATCGACGTCCTGGACCCTGAGTCCTCGATCAACTTCCCCATGGACACTCTCCTCCCACCCACTCTCCCCGCCCCGACGACCTCCGGCGCCGCCGCCTCCGTCGTAAACCAGGTGCGCCAGCTCCTCCGCAGCGGCGACAACGAGGGAGCTCTGCGGTACGTGCTCGAGACGGCGCCGCTGGGCGGCGATGACCGCGCAAAGGAGGTGCATTTGGCCGCTGTGGTGGAGGTCTTGCAGGGTATTCGTCAGGGAGAGATGAGTCGCGTGCTGGAGTCTGTGTGTACCGGTGAGGGTGGGTCGGAGAGAGCGGATTGTTTGATGAAGTATTTGTATGGTTCCCCCCTTCACTTCACTTTCCTATGCTATCACTGAGTGATGGTTGTGAATGTGCCTACTAATTAATCTTTGTTGTGTATAGGTACAAGGGCATGGCGGCGCCAGCTCCCAGTAGCGCGGCACAGTCGCCTCGCATGTCGCCGCAGAGCACGGGATTCTCGCAGATTCAGGCCCGCAATCTGGGTGAGGGAGGTGGTGGACAGCAGATGAGTGTGTTGTTGAACTGGCATGAGAAGTTGGTGGAGGTTGCGGGGACGGGGTCGATTGTTAGGGTCATGACGGATCGGAGGACTGTTTAAGTTGCATGATTCTTGTTGTGTTTTGATTTGGGTTTTTGTATGTTGAAGATGGAGGTGTGTGTATGTGTGTTCTGTGTACCCATGTTCTTCGTCAGGATGATATCCTAGATGTGCCTCTTTTATTTTTCCCTTTCCTCGTCAATATTATACAAGCACAATATTCTATACTATACATTAACCAAGTCCACTGAAATCATGATCAATTACCAATGGAACCACCACCCAACAAATCCTTCAGATTCAACTGTCCACTCCCTCTCTCCAACGGCTTCGCCTGACCCTCACCCTCCTTCCATCCAATCATATAAATCAACCGAAACGTCGCTGGCACTCCTCTAGACCCCTCCTCTTTATGCAACTCACGATAAATCGCCTCATTCGCCAACAGCACATCCCTCGACATGGGCCCCAACTCCCGATGCAAGATGGCATTATTCTCCCCCATCGCCTGCAAATCACCCATCAACGCAAACGTATCCGGATACTCCACCACAATATCCTCCACATCCACCGTCAACATCTTAAAGCCCGCCTTATTCAACAATCCCCCAACATCCCTCACATCCGCCAACGGCGACACATGCGGACTGACACCTCCGCGCCGCTCTAAATCCGCTAACTGCAACGACGTCCGTAGCTCGAACAACGTATCCCCGCCGAACATCGCCGCAATGAACGGACAGTCCGGCTTGAGGATAGAGTTGACCTGCGCCAGCAGCGAGGGCAAATCATTGATCCAGTGAATCGAGAGCGAGGAGAGCACCGCGTCAAAGGAGTTCTCCGGGAAGGGGAGGGATTCGAGATCAGGCACGATTTGCCGCTTGAGAGAGATCTGGTCGTTGAAGGGCTCGTCTGCGTCGCGGTAAAGAAGGGCCTCGGAGGTGTCGATGCAGGTTAATTGCCCGATGCGTGTACTGAGGGGTGGGGAGCTGCCGTTGGGAGCGTCGGGGTCTGGATCGGGCATAGTGAGAGCGCGGGCAATGTTGCAGCTGTTGGCGCCGAGGTCGAGGACTTGGGGGAAGGTGCGTTTGATGTCCTATTCCATTCCATACGATTCAGCTTGCTATCCTAAATCTGTAGGGTGTTGGAGGATGATGGGGGGTGAAGGCATACCAGCAACCGTTCACATAGCCGCATGGCTACTTCGTCCTTGATGTAGTCGGTCTTGCGGCTCTCCTCGACATTGCGGGCTGCGCGGTCCTTCTGCATGTGCTTGGTTTTTCGATTGAAGATTTCCATGACTGGATTGCCGGGCGTTTGGCTGGCGTAGGTGCGGCGTGATGGACATGATGATGCTGCTGATGATGATAATGTGTAGGTGGGTGTGCGTTTGGTGTAGATGCGCGGGGAGCGCAGTGCTGGTCGAAATATGTGAGACATAGACATTTTGAGGTCTCTGGGTTATTAATTGGAGTTGGTTTGCTGGAATTGAGAGGAGGGAGAAGGGGTTTAGAGGGAAGGGAAGAAAAGTTGGAGGCAGCTCAGCAGCAGCGGAACGTGACGTCGGCGAGAAATCCATTCCTTCTCCGCATTTTCTCCCGCCACGTCGCGTCCTCTTGTCGCGGGGTTGTTCGCTCTACAATTTTCTAAATGTGTGATGGGTCTTATGGGTATGTTGGAAGCAGATTACATTGAGGTAGCAATTTGAACCGTTCTGTGTGATTCGATCTGCTGGTGCTTTAGGTATGGTGCTTCCTGCTTCCCCCTGATGTTGTTTTCGGGCTTCCATACTGATTATTGATGATGCGCCTAGAATGCAATAAGCAATATCTTGATTGAACTCTTCAACATGTCACGTCCCTTCCCTTACACTTTCATATCTTGTCCTTGCGCCAACATCCCTGTACCTGATCCGGCGAAGAAACGGAGATCGAGGGAGTCGCCGCAGAAATCCAATCCCGATCAACCCAAATCTCTCCTGCGCCCGGATGACGACGAAGATGAACAGGCTTTTGATCCTCGGTCTCCGCGCGCCAATTTCTCTCTGTATCCCCCGGAGCAGCTGCTGTACTGCGAGGATTGCCATCAGATCAAGTGCCCGCGATGCATAACGGAGGAGATTGTGTGCTGGTACTGTCCGAACTGTCTGTTCGAGACGCCCAGCAGCATGGTTCGGAGTGAGGGGAATCGGTACGTTGAGCAGGATGTACTAGCCCTAAGCTTTTATAGGTGTATGCTAATGCAGTGGATGCTAGATGCGCTCGCAATTGCTTCAACTGCCCGATATGTACCGCCCCCTTGGGTGTAAACACCCTTGAGAACGTCGTGACAGGCGGCACCAGCCAACAAGGCCCCTGGGTGTTGTCTTGTGGATACTGCATGTGGTCGACTCTGGATATTGGCATCAAGTTTGATAAACCGACCAACATCCGGACTCAACTGTCCAAGATGACCGAAGTCACTCCTGCTCGTTCGAGACAAATGTCCCGGACATTCGGGGACCTCAAGTCTCCCCTCTCCACTTACTCCTCCATCGATGAGCAATTCCTACCACCAGGCGAGACCAAGCCCGAAGACTCCCCTCTGGACCAACCCAGTGCTCCTCTCACTCCGGATGCTCGATTCCACGCCCTCAAGAACTTTTATAAGAACCAGATCTCCGCGACATCCTCCTCCCCCACCGACCCCCTAGGCATGGACTTCGGCTCCGGGTTCTCCTCCCCTGGTGCCCTAAACCGCATCATGTCCCTTTACACCTCGTCATCCCGCCTCAGCAGCCTCTACGGTGGAGCCAACAAGAAGCCCAAAACCAAACCGCCCGTCATGCGAGAAGCCCTCACAGCCGGCGAGGGTCTCAAGATCCCCTCCCCCGACGCAGAAGACACACTCATCGAACGAATGTCCTCCCCGGACTGCGGATGGGACGGTCTCGCATCCATTGAACAACGCGCGTTCCAGTCCCCCGACGCCCGGTTCGTAGAGGACCTCCTCCCGCTGCCCGTGCTACTTCGCACGAAACGGTCCAAACGATGCAAGTCGTGCAAGCACATCCTCGTCAAACCCGAACTGAAACCACAGTCCACGCGGTTCCGCATCCGCCTGATTGCCCTCAGCTACATTCCCTTGCCGACGTTACGGCCGCTGAACCCCAGTCCCTCCCCAGCCACCACCACGACCACCACCGTTCTCCCGGCACCTTCAAGTTCCACGACGAACCCGAACCTGGACGCTCTCTCCCCACTCCGACCCATCCAACTCCTCCTCACGCTGAAGAATCACATGTTCGATCCCGTCCGCGTCACACTCGCCACGCCATCCGTCACTCCGGGCCGCGTGGCCTCCAAAGTAACTATCCTCTGTCCGCAATTCGACATTGGCGCCAACAGCGACGTGTGGGACGAAGCCCTCCAGGGTACTTCGGCTACCACTACCACGGCTACATCCACGGGAACTGACCCCCGCGGATCCCGATCCGGAGGGCTCGGCGTGTACGAGAAAGTCGCAGAGGCCGGGAAAGTCTGGGACAAGGGACGGAACTGGACCACCGTGGTGTTGGAGGTCGTACCGGGGACATTACCTGGTGGTGCGAAACAGCCCTCCTCCGCCAAAAATACCAAGAAAGACAAGAAGATGAAGAAGAAGACTCCTGCCGATGATGAGCTAGACGAGCAGGATGACGACTCTGACGATGATGACTCCGACTCCGACCAGGGATTTGACTGGAGTGGACAGACATCTGACCCCAATGAGCAGCTACAGCCGGATGAGGATGTATTGGAGATCCCGGTGTTTGTGCATATGGAATGGGATTCGGATAATCAGATTGATAGTGAGCAGGGGGTGGGGAGAGCTGGAGCGGGTGGGAGTGATACGGTGAAGAGGGAGTTGGCGTATTGGATGGTGTTGGGGGTGGGGAGGATAGTGAGGGAGATTGTGTAGACAGATCCTTGTTGGTTGTGTATAGAAGATGACGATGATTGGTTGTGGGTGATACCTTGTTTTCTTTTCTACTAGATATACATATATCGCATCTTTCTCATTCTTGATTCCAGAGCAGCTAATAGTATCAAATGCTGGTGGCTATAGTAGCGGTTCACGACCTATGGTACGATGACTACTACTAATTGACATATAACGAACCCACAATAGAGTAACTATAAGGCTTAGCCCCTTCCTGGCAGCAATAGCACTAGCGACTCCTTACCAACAAGACTAAAAAGAGTCCAGTTACTTAAATAATACAAAATAATACTATAACAGTCACATGCTACTACCAGCTCATCTACAGTATAGTACTTAGCTACCCAACCCACCACCTACACACTCAAAAATTTAAAAGTCAAAGATCATACACTCGACAACACAATGCATTTTCTTTTCCAGGCAATTCCCCTAGCCCTATAGCTAGCTAGCTACCCTAGCAACCAATTTCCTTCCTCCCCCCCCTTTTTTTATTTTGAAAATAACATGACAAAATGAACAAATGAACTCAAGACCAACATGAATCTTTGAACTTTGACTTTCCTCATTCCCTTAATACCCGGTTGTTTTTTTGCCCCGAATCCCACCCAAAAACAAACACATATACCATGTACCGGAACCGACCGACCGACCGAAAGATAGATAGATAGATAGAAAGATACCTGACCAGAACCTCACTGTCTCAATCCTCAACCCCACAAAGAGCCGCAAGCAAGAAGGTGTCTAACTGTCTGACTGTCTGACTGACGGCTGGGGTGGGGAACATGCAGGAAACAAAACAGGGGGTGGTGATGGGGGATGGGAAGATCGTAGTTTAATGTTTCTGCATGCCCCCGGAGCCCACGTGCAATATCATGGTACGTGATTTTCTGAGGGAGATCGACGAGTAAAAAAAAATATGGAAGAAACGGCAAGAAAGATGGGAGAGAATAGGACGGAGTAAGAAGAAGAATTGAGGTAAGAAGGTCAAATCAAATTTTAGTCTCTTGTCTTGTCACATTTGTCACTTGTCAAATTAAAAAAGGGAAAAAAAAGAGGGAAAAAAATTTGATTCCTTTTTTTTTTCACTCTCTCTAGTAGTCGGCACCACCCTGGGGGAATTCAAAGACAACAGCACGGCCAGTCAACCGACGGTAGACCTCGCCGTAGGCATCAAGGCGGTGGTCAACACCACCACGCTCCTTCTCGTCCAGGATGACCTTGAGGGTCTTGGAGCCGTCCTCCTTGGTGCGGGTACGCTTGCCGACGATCTCGACGGGGTAGACGAGGTCGGTGAGGATGGCGTCGTGGACAGCAGTCAGAGTGCGGGAACGGGGACGCTTCTGCTTCTGGTTGGAACGAGAGCTGGCGGAGCGCTTGGGGCGGGGCAGGATGCGGCGCTGAGCAACGAAGAGGACGTGGCGGTCGGAGAACTTCTTCTCGAGCTCACGGGTCAGACTAGAGAAGGGGGAGTCAGTCATATGGTTTCTGGTGTCGTTTTCTTTTTGCTGCTACGCTTCTGGTAGTTGTGGGCATGTGGCTGGCACATTCCGGGGTTGGTGTATTTTCTCTTGTTTCATGTGGAGGTGTGGAGTGGAAAATCGTACCGCTGCTGGATCTTGTGGAAGCCCTGGAGGAGAGGGACAGGGACGAAGATGATGACTGCCTTCTTGCCGTGGCCGACCTCGACCTATGGTGATAGTAGAGTCAATATCAAATTGCGCACAATCCGAGAGAAAAACAAATGAATTTTTCAAATCCCCAGTTCGCGCAGCAGATCAGAGTTGAGTGTCGATTGGTTGTTAAGACGGTTCAATTCGCCTTCTTCTTTTTCTCGTCTTTGCCTCGATGCTGGTGGTATATAATCCCCAAGCAGACACGTATACACCATCAAGGTGCAGACCGCACAAACACACAATATCCACATTGATATTTGATATTTCCCAGAACGTCTCTCGTATGTTGGCAATTTCCGCGAATTCATAAAACTCTCGACCCTCTCTGATCTGTACACGGACGGAGGCTATGAATGAAAAAACCAAATCATCCTTACCTCACGGGCAGAGACGAACTGCAGGGGCCTGAGGGTGGCCTTCAGGTCCTGTGTGTTGCTCTCGAGGTCGAAGAGAGCACCGGCGATCGCGGTCTCCAGCTCGGAGGGGTTCTGCCTCGACGGCGAGTTGATGGCGATCTTGTTGATAGCAGCCATGATTGCAGACGAGCGACGGGTAGCTGGCTGTGCTGCGGATGCTGCCTTCTGTCGTGAGGTTGGTTGTCGAGGTTGGTGGTTGAACGGAGATCTCTCGAACGTCCTCCAATTTGCGCTTGGGTCGGCTGTGGGATCGGAGGCTCGGCCTCTCGCTTAGCGGGTGGCCGTAGTCCCGTTTGGGTCTAGTTAGGGGATGTCTGATCCCGTGACCCTTCTGCCCTTTTCGGATCATCAACCATTAACCAACTACTACCATGCAGCATTGCGAGAAATGCTTGCTTGTCTATCATGTTAATCCTCATATTATACATTGCATTTGGATCGCAAAAT